GGGGGGGGGGGGGGGAGGTCTTATTGCGTTAATATTATTGCCTAGTAAATATTATTTTATTCATTGCAACTATCATATTTGTGATCAACATGCGTCAAATGACATATGTGTATGTGTTGAGATAAGAGAATAAAAATAAACTTTTCTTCGAGTCTTTGGGCGTATATCTGGTCTAAAAAATCATGATGTTACATATCGTCAATTGGAATTGCGCAACACAAAAATAACTCACATATGAAAACTGAATTGTCAATTTTCTTTGAAGGAACTTTTTCTACCGTAACAATATTTGCCTTTTAAAGGGATGAACAAACAAGGTATTCAATTAAATCAAGTTTACCTTGCTTTCTAGATGTGTCGCCGGATACAGGAATATTTGCTAGTAATATTTTAAAATGTTTCATTATTATTCTCTTTTCAACTTCTTGTAAACCTTGTAACCAACCGTATTCAGCAACATTATTTAATGCTGATTCATACAAATTGTCTTTATCCAAGATTTTACTTTTGTCCAATAATTCAAATAATTTTGGACAATAATATTCACGTAACGCTTGCAATAAGACGGATCGCTTTTTATTATCAGAAAAATTTTCTATAGATTTTAAACCATTATTGGTTATTACACACCATAGATCATTGAATGCATTTGTTTCATCGAAAAATTTGTCATCAATACCTTCAAATAGAAGTTGCAAAACAATTGATAAGATTGGGCAATCTTTCATGTATTTATTGCCATATTCAGCTGTACGTTTCAGAACAGAATCATAATTCACAGCATCTCTATATTCCTTTAAGAATAAAATAAACCATTGATTTGAAGAACCATATTTTATTTTCCATTGTTGTTCAAAGTATTCTTTCAGAGACTTCATCAGGTTGCCATCGTTTTCATTTATTGCTGCTGTATAGACATCTGGTGCGAACTCTTCTTTATACTTAGACAATGATTGTCGACCATTTTCTAGCAAATCATTTATAATTTCATCTTTTATTTCGTGTTCTTCCAAGTCAAGAGCGCGTATTATTTCACTCTTGGCTAATTTTAACACTTCATCATCGACGACCTCGTTAAGATTTCCTGTTGAAGAAAATTTTATTATTGATAAATTCGAAGAGAACGTAAGTATTGGATATGGCTAGGAGTAAAGAGAAGATCCATACTCACAATCACACCCAAAAAAAAGAAAGATTCAAAATATTCAATAAACGAAAGGAATGCACACCAGCGTACAATAGAACAAATCGATGTGGAAATTGTTCGCACTTATGAAGAAATGCTCCTTTCTGTCTCCAGTCGCACAGATCAAGAAGAAATAGAACGAAATCATATACATATTTCTTTCATTCACGGTGCTTCTTCGTATACTTCCATTCAAATAGTCATGTATTACTTACAGTTAAAAAGTGATAGGATTGTTATCTATTCTTAAGTAATTTTTGATTTCCAATGGTGAAGATAGAAACAGTTGAAGGATTTCTTCTTTGTTCTTATTTAATCTCTTCTCGCTTAAACAGACACAATGGATGCGTTTTTTATTGAAAAAAAAGCATTTTTTTGATTTTTTTGAGTTATGAGCCGTCTCTGCTGCGAACGGAACTATTTCTTGTCGTTGGAGTGTACTGTTCATTTCTAAGAGTATACGGACGAATTCATGGTAGACGTTCTCTATCAGCAAATGACTGAGAAAAAATATAAGAGAAATAAATAGAAACTGAAAGATGATTGATTGTGTAGCTCTCTCGGACAAACCATGACGCCACTACAGTCAGTAGCTACGGATGAGGAGTAGTTGCGGGTGCCTGCATGTGTTTTGACCTATTCATTGCTCACATCCATCTCGGCAGCTACATAGACATCAATGAGGATATCCACATCTGCACTCACACCATCATTGACTGATTAATCATTCTGTGGATACTAATTAGTCAATCTCTAGCTTGAAGAATAATTCAGTTGACACTTTAGCTTTGGCTTAAAAGTTAAAGTTGAAGTTCTACTTCAAATTTTACCAGTTAAAGCTGAAGTCGATAGGCACGATTATGAGTGTTAATGTTGGCTTAACTAGTGATAATCAAACCACTCATTTCTACCCTTGTAAAAAAAAAGAAACCGATCGTTCACGCATATCGTTGAGTTACCTGCGTCAGGATGTGTGGTAACAAGATTGGATGACAATGATCCTTCCTTCTTATTCTGAATGTTATGATCAGTCGTAATTCGAGAAATAAGTTCATCAAGGTGAACAACAACAGCTTTTACCTATTGACATAAAATCATAAAATACAATCGAAATTATTCAATTGAATTTTACTTTGACAAATCTACTAGCCCATTGTTCATTAATTGCTTTATTAATACAGTACACATATATTGACATAACTTGTCGAAAATTGTGAACAGAAGGTACTATTTCTTTTCCCAATTGACCACTAACAATCATTACTACCCGATCTTTTTCTGATCTTTCTTCAATATATTTTTGACATTGTGCTGTATCTTGAAACTTCTCGAAATGATTAATAATAGAGGTCAATATTTGTTCTGTATCTTGAATCCGTTTGTCGCTCACATTAGCATCAAGCCAAATGATGCAGGAGATCACTGAAAAAAAATCTGTAAAATAATACACGAATAAAACGCCTTTGATAACGTAATGAAGGGAAAAGGCTTCAAGAGTTTGCAGCGAGACATAACGCTTTTTTCTGTACATGACGAAGATGATAAATGATTTTTCTGTTTATGATTTGGAAAAAAAAGATTAATTAGATATTTCAAAAACAGAAAAAGGGCTTATGTTCCGTTGTAAATTCACAAAGTCTGTTTTTTACAGTGGCGTAAGAATGGATATCATTTGCATTTTCGTGCAATGTCAATGAAGGTGGATGCATAGAATAGACATTTCGCATGCTGAGTGTTCGATTTCGTTATCGAATATAAGAGTGCTAAAAGTACTTACACATGGATATTACACTCTCACTTTTATTATTTTATTTAATATTATTCACAATATTGTTTTATTTTCTAATTATTATACAAAGCGAAGAAAAGAATAAAATGTTAAATACATTGAAGAAAATGACTTTCTTCTGAATGTTTATTTTCATAGGTAAGATTAGTCAATCGAGGTATGAAACTTTGGCATGGTATTTTATTTCGTTTAGTGAACTAAGAAGGTTTTAAATCAGACTATATCATTTTACACTAAGTTCGGTACTATCATTTGCAAATATGTAGATTATTCATTTTAAATCGGTATCAGTCATAATTCTTATCTTTATTTCAGAAAATTCCTACAGGAAACTTAGTTGAATCAACGAAGTTGAGTTGTACATTCAAAAAGTACTATTTCTGATCTGATGGAAAAAGTTCTAATATTTCAGAGTTAGACAAACAAACACTGGAAGACTTAGTAAGTTAAACTTGGCTATGGATATGTATCATTTTTCCTTGAATTTTTCAAGTATACAATAGTAAAATGTGAATTATATTCTTCATTCTCTAAATATTACTCAAGATTCTCAATTAGAATACAGTTAAAGAGACAGAACATTTTATTTCTGAATTCGTTTCCAAAGTCGAAAAGATCTCATAAAAAAGATTGATCTTTGTTACATGTGAGTAAAGAAGTTAATCTCTTCACATATGATATCTACTCCTCAGAAGAAAAATCATTTCTAAATAGGAAATTTTTTCTTTCAGTTATTTTGACTTTAAATATTCAATGGTATTCTGCTCATATTTTACATGGATGCATGAAATCAAGAAAAATTTTTCCATGTGATATTCCTTTTCTAAAATGAATGAACCCACTGGCGGTATATGCATTATTTGAAAACAAAAGTGAGCAAATATATCATTCATGTTGATTGAAAATTCTAAGGAAACCTGTTGTTGTTTTATGAAAATCGACGTACAGTTTGAACGAAGCGGAAAACGACTCCTCTTATCATAGACAACGATCACATTTCACTTTTTCTTTTACTGTAATTCAACCTCAAACTGTAATTTTTGTCATTTATTTATGAGCGCACATAATTCCAAACTGGAGACTCAACAGGACTTGAGCCAGAATTCGAAATATTCAAGACACTATGCAATTAAGGAGATAACATTGAGTCCTAATGGGTTTTCTTCAAACTTTCAGTTTCTGAGAGCTAACTACATCTGTTTACATCTAATTAATTTCTCACCTCTATCAAAATCATTTTCAACAATGAGAGAAATTCGAACAAGTCTTACAAAGCATAGCTCAAGTGCTTTTCGGTTTCTAAGAATCAAGTATGAAATCTGTTGACATAATTAACTCATAATACGAGGCGATTAGACCTACAAGAGCTTTCTATTCTATGAAACTAATTTTTTTGAGAACTCAACTATTTTCAGATCTGTAACAGTTGAGCTCCATAAGTTGAAATGAACTGCCAGAAATACGATCAGTTCATATTCCCACAGAAACAAACCTAACTTAGTTTGATCCAACATGATTCAGTCTGAAGTCCAAACGACGTCATCTCTGTGCACTACTCAAAAGAACTTTTAAAACCAAGCCGCTCCTTTCAAAACACCTGTTGGGACTGTTCTCAACATCAAAACTCATATAGAACTCTAGTAAGATTCTGGAGCTTAGCAGCTATTCTACTGAAATCAATGCTCACCATATTTTTTCTAAAAATTTTTCTCACTTATTTGAATTTATCATGACTAATGATCGAAAACCACAACAGAATTTTAATTATTAATATGCACGTAGAAATGACGACGAAATGACAAAGTTGTTTGAGTGTATTATTCAAAGTAAATATCTTTGGTAAAAAATATAGTACAGATATTCAACAGCACAATAAGGTTGCATGGCGGAGAAATATCTAAATCTCAAATGAAAACACAGTATAAGTGCTACTGAGAATAGAGATTTTTGTGATAATATCTCATGTGATAAATTATAATGATCTCACGTAGAACTACAATTCCAGTTATTTTGGAGAAGAATGACAAGAAAACAAGAATAAGAGTGAGACAAACTAAGTGAAAATTAGAGAATTTTTCTGAGTATTTATGCATGTTTTTGAGTCATTTCGAAACAAAGTTTTCTCATAAGGAGATTCATCATTCAGTTCCTTAGGAAATTATGTATTTCTAGGAATGAAGACGTACTTTTTCATTTTTTTTATATTCCGAACGTAAACGATGATTGGAAAACGTACAGCTTTGTCAAGTTACTCTTCTTCACGAAAATTTCATTATAAAAGTTTTTTATTATTCCAAAAATATTATTAACTTGCTTCTTTTAATACTCCTGAGTTGAAAATTTTATTTCATATTGAATAATATAACTAATTTGTGAGCTGATTATTGCAAGACCGCCAAGAAGTGGCAAATCTCACATTCTCACTAATTATGAAATCTGAGTGTCAAAGTTATTTAAAATTTGAATTCTTCAAAATTTTGAAAATTTTCATTGACAATTACGATGTTAACTAATCATTCTAATGCATCTATTCTGAACAAAATAGTTTCTTAACGGCAGATTTCGCCTGAACTTTCATTATCGAAAAAAAACGACCTAAAGCCTCTTATATCAGGATGTGAATCTTTTGTCCGATATTTTTGATAATCTCGTCATTTATGAAGCATATACGGACATAGTTTTTCGGTACTGCTGTTTTTTTTAACTTGGTTGATAGGTTGATCATATCTGTAGATATACATGGATGAAATCAAAGAGATTCTTTTGTTTTTAAGGAAAGAATTTTTAATAATAAAACAACTGTTTATAAAGTTTCTCATTAACATACAAAGTTATGATATTTAACTAGATTTCAGAAATATATGTCTTTAGTTTCATAATCAAGTTCATCTGAAGATCATGTGATATGTATCTTGGACATATACAAAGTATAGATGTATTCAAAAGAAAAACTGACTAATCATGAAAGATACGAAGTATATTGTATAAGAAATAATATTGACAATGTATTCTAATATGATGATGTCGTGAAACGAGTTTCGACTACAAATGTGACTTTCATTCCTCAAGGAAAATGAAATGAATTTTTGACTTTTAAGTAAAGATTAGTGAAGAAGAATATTTTATTTTATTTTTAGGAAAGAAAAACTCACGTAATTTCGTGATAAGATTGGGCTTGACTGAAGAACACGAACAATGGTGGTGTTGCATAGCAAAATACAAGGTTTTAATTAAAAAGCAAAAAGTACAACTGATATTTTTCTTCCCAGTACAACAGAACTGAGTTTCTCTATAGATTTCAACATTCTAAAATAATTGACTCAGCTTCATTTGAGAACTTCTCAGTTTGAATCGATTTAATCTAAAGAAAAGATCATGTGATTTAATTTGTAGCTCTTTTCTCAACACAAGCTTGTGCAAATTTAATAAAAGCATAAAAGAACATGGTACATTTACTAGTAAGAAAGAGCCTAAAAATGAAAAAGTGTGATACTCTAGTTATTCGAGACCTAAACGAGAGCAGCTAGATTTGGCATTCGAGATATTCATCGAGGTTCCTAATGCATAAAATACTTTTAAACTCCTTCTCAGGTTGGACACTCAAATATGTTCTCTAGTCAGAGCAAGAACATTGACGTCCTTGGTCATAACAAATCAAAACTAGATGATATTTGTTATCGGGAAAACGATTATTCACAAGTATACCGTTCAAAATATATGACTTCTCTTCACAGAAAATAATTTTTATGAACTATTCTAGATGAAAAACCTTGAAACCATCAGAGTTTCACCGATTTATCATACTCATGAGCGCAATCTATTCCACTGTCAGACATTTCTAGTTGTGGTCCTCACAAGAAAAAGTGTCAGAAGTGTTCGTCTGAGGGAATATTCGGTGTTATAAGGAACTAAAGGCAAAGTAGGAAAGAAAACATTGCTTCTTATGGTTTCACTATTGGTCTCGAAGGAATCGATAAGGTTTGTCAATGAAAGAGAGTTTGTTTGCTATAGCGTCCGATCGGTAAATAGCAATCAGAAAAGATTCATTATCGAGCAGAACACAGACAGTACAACAAACACATTTTTTATGGAGAATACTGTCGTTATCCTAAATAGTGCACCTGATTTCTGTGATTACGGCTTTGGTCTCAGCACGACTACAGCAGGCTTGGATAGGATTAAGTTTGGTGCATATGAAAGAAAACAATGCGACTGTCATCTGAACCAATTCGTACTAGCGGTATGAAATCATTGCAACTTTCAAGTGACTATCCCAGAGTCAACCTAACGTGGGTCAAAAAAACAGGGAGCAGCTGGCACTCGTTCAATGCTAGTATTGAAGGAGTACTTGAAAACTACCCCATTCAATTTCGACTGTGTCCTTTTTGGGATGCATATGACATCAGAATATTTGGAATATGACATCTACACTCACATCTTCAAGAAATGTTGTTCACAAACAGCTGTACTTA